TATGAGAAATGGACATATGACTTCCTTATTGGTAAGAGTTGATGATCATTTTTATAATTAATGAGAGATGGATTAATGGTAATACTACCTAATTATGTAAATGACGTGGAATGTAAATAATAGAAATTGATGACATGTTTTTTGATATTTATTTCCACCAATCAAATTGACACATAGGATGAAATTGGGGACATGTCACATAATGAAATTGACAAATGTCAATCAATTAGGCATGCAATTCAACTTTTATATATTATATAGATAATAAATTTAATTCCTAACACATGTAAGAACCTAATCGTAAATCATAATATTTTATCAAAGCGTAATATTTGAACTAATTAAGCTCAAGTCCTTTCAGTTCGTAAACATTATTCAAATATTTGAATCGATTCATTAGCGCGCTCAACTATTGACAAGAACGTCTTAATCAAATTAACTATTATTAATTAAAGGGTAATACATTTTTAATTCAATTTTATCATAAAAAAATAATTCCTAAATTACACAAGAATCAAATCATAAGATTAATTAAAGCGTATGATTTGAATCAATTAAGCGCAAATCCTTTTAATTTGTAAATATTATTCAAAAATTTGAATCGATTAAGTTCAACCACTGACAAGAACGTATTAATCGAGTTAACTATTTATAATTAAAGTCTACTATCCTTTTAATTCAATTTTAACAACAAAATAATAATTTAATTCGTAAAATCGTAAGAATCAGATTGTAAATCGTAAGATTTAATCTAACCGTGAACCAATTAAATCTTACGATTTTTACCAATTAAATTTTATTATTTTTTATGATAAAATTCAATAAAAAAAGGTTACTAAACTTTAACTATACACAGATTGATTAATACGCTATTGTAAATTATTGAGTTTAACCGATTCAAATATTTGAATATTGTCTACGAATTGAAATGAGTTGAGCTTAATCGATCAAATCTTTGAATATTGTTTATGAATTGAAAACACACGAGTTTAATTGATTCAAATATTACGATTTAATTAAATCTTACAATTTACGATTCAATTCAAACTTCAAATTCTTTCGAAATTAATTTTTAAATTACACGAGTTGAACAACATTTCATTAGATTTTTAAATTATATTATATAAAGATTTGTTAGTATGGGATATTTTTAATATATAATAATAATAATTATATGAGAATTAATAATTTATTTAACATTATTTATATAAGTTTTATAATCATTATAAATTGTAGCTTTGTGATATATATCCATATTGTTAGTTTATTGTCAATTATGTGTTGTGTCTTAATGGTAAGTATTCTTGTATGTTTTCAGATGGTCGCGACAATACATAAATGAAGAAAAAATAGGTGGGACACGTGTCGCAATTTGAAGGGGTATCTCATAAAAGTTTAGAACACATGATCTCACCCTAGAAAGACCATTAATACACTACAACAAAAATCGTTATCCATAGCGTTTGAAAAACGCTATTATAGGATTTCATAGCGTTTTTACAAACGCTATGTCTGCCGGAGCTATAATAGGTGTCAGTTCTTTCATAGCGTTTTTTCAACCGCTATTATATTTTGTATTTCACATACCATTCTGTAATGTGCTATCGTATTTATTCTTACAACATATATAAAACGCTATTATATGGCTACAATAGCGTTTTACAAGCCAATATTAATCTACTATAGCACTTTACGAGCGCTACTCAATTGTTAAAGATAAAATTAATTAAATGTATCTTTTATTTGATAGCATTTACACAATGCAATTGTAGTAGTTTTATACTATTTTAGTTTTTTCAATATTTCAATATTGTGCAATTAAAAAGAACAAATAAACTTCATAAAAGAAACAATTAAACACAACATTTCGTAATGATAAAAAATAAATAATCATCATTAAAAACTGAACCATATTCATGAAACAATACAAGAACTATCTTCCATTATTCAGTATTCATACTATATTGACTAGAAAAATAGATGTATACAATGTCTTAACAAAAAGAAAAACAAAAAAAGGTGTGCAATTCAAGGAAGAATTCATATCTACAACAAGAATTGTATCTTCTCATCCTTGACCTGTTACAGAATTGAATAAGAATAAAAAGTTACTAATACTTTATTGCATATCTACATATTCCATTTCAAGCACATATTTAATTCAAAACTGAGTATACTACTCTCTGTGTGGAGATGGGAAATATAAACGAGATTGAATTTGACAGTCCAATTGAATCAAACAGAATTGAACAATAGCTCCTATTGAATCCCTTCATGTATTTTTTTTAGGGCTAAATACAGTTTGCACCCTTAAACTATAGGGGTGGTAACACTTACCCCCTTAAAGTTACAAATGTAACACTTACCCCCCTCAATAATGAATTTAATGATAAAACTTTGACTTTGAATGATGTGGCATTTTTTCTTCACAAATTGTCCTTCTAGCTATTATATTGATGCATATATAATAAAATATTTTCAATAATATTTCAAATACTAAATTTTATAAAATATAATAATTATTAAAAAAATATTTTGATTTATGTTTAACTCCACATTTTAATTACTATAGACCCTAATATAAATAAAAATCTCAATATTTTAAAAAATATATAAAATACATTAAACATTTGCAAGAAAATATTTTCAAGACTTAAGTGGCCAATTTTTTTTATAATAATTATTGATTTGAAAATATATTTTAGTTACTTAAATATAAATTTTTATAAAATAATATTTAAATATTTAGATGTTTAAATTATAATTTCTTATGAACTTTTGAATAATTTTGTGATTCTCAAAGTAAAAAGTGGGATGATTATATTAGAGTCATATACGCATTAAAATAACTATATAAACTATAAAATCATAATTAAAATTCGG